ATTAAAAATATAAAAAAAGTTTTAACGGAACAAAGTATATATATATATATATATATGTGGAATTTCTTTGGCGTTGGCTTCTTACTGACTCGACTTGTCTGTTGTTCCGGGCTGTAAAAACGTGATTAACCGCAGAGACTGAGAAACCCCGATTTCTCAATCAGAACGAGGAGGAAGCTGACAAACAGCAGTGCTTGAATTTCAGGCTGGTTTCGATTTTGATTTCTACTCACGGTTCAAGTGATTTTATACTTCACTTTCTTCTCCATTCTGAAACGTTTGAACACAGTTAATCACCGTAGATTTCGATCTCTCTCTTGCTGTGAAACTCACGCTTATATTACTGTAAATATACTGTGATCAGTTTTTCAAGGTTCTTCGTTTATGCTTTGATTTGATTGTTAGGATCTTCGGTGGTTCTTATCAGGAAATGTGTCCTCATGATCAATTTGTTTGTTTATGCTCTTGACTGTTTCAAAAAAGTTTGCCTACAATGACTCAGTACCGGCTACCATTTTAAACTCAAATGCCCTAATTTCCTTTTCTGGATGAATTTTTTATTTTCATTTTCAGAATTTCCATCCCTGAACTAGCTTGCAATTTGTGTTTTCCTCAATTATTCCAAGTTTGTTGTAACTTCCCTTGTGAATTTTAATTATAGTTTTGGTTATTGCATAAATTCGACCCCTTTTTTTTTCCTTTTTAATAGTTTTGGTGATTTTTACAGTTTTGGTGATTGTTACAGTTTCTTTAACCGCATATTGCTGCAGTCATTGTTCGGAGCAGGGTATTGAGTGCATTTCTGAGAATGGTATTTGCTTGATCTCTCCTCCTTTAAGGTTTTCGTGCTATTGTGTTATTTCATTTTTCATTGTTGCTATGAGCCATCCAATTCCTAGAAAATATAACAAATTTGATTTCTTAGTGATTCGATATTTCATTTGATCAGAAAATTAAAACGGGGTATGCATGAGCTTGGTTGTGTCTTGTTCTGCCTCTAGAAGAATTTTGAAGGCATAGTTTTTCTGGGATTAAGTGCATAAGGACATTGAGGATGTAATTCTCCACTAATCTTTTTATTGCTAAAACGGGGTATGCATGAAAAGCTTGGTTGTGTCTTGTTCTGCCTCTAGAGGAATTTTAAAGGTATAGTTTTTCTGGGATTAAGTGCATAAGGAGATTGAGGATGTAATTTTCCACTTATCTTTTTATTGCTAATGTGGCTGCATTATATGCAACTATTAGGATTCCATGTGAAATGTGGAGGGAAGAGCTAGATTGAAGCTGCTTCGACTCACTGGGTTCTTTTTTTTGCTGTGGAGGTGGGAGGGTATCTTTCACCTTCCTCACTCAAAGCTAGGATTTCCTCCATGGTTTCAGTTGATTTGACAAAAGGCAACCATTCATTGAGTTTGATCAGCTTCAAAAAGTAGTTTTATGAGCTTTCTGACAAAAAAACCTGGACTTTTTGGTTCCTGATTTGGGTACCATGTGGTCAACCATATGTCCTCACTGTAACTTTGTGTTCAGTTGAACCATAAAGAGACTAGTTATAGACCAAGTCTCTTGGAAATTCTATTCTTTCAGATAGATTGTTTTTTACCTGCATGCATGAAGTTGATGCTGTATCCAATCTGAGAAAGAAAGCATTATGGGATCTCTCCTTTTTTGTATAGGTAAAGTAATTATGAAGTAGTTTGATTGTGTCACTATATCATATGGCTGGACTACAAGTCATGTTGTAATAGTTTCTATTCCAGTTGTTTTATTTATTTTTCCTACCTGTTTTAAGGGTGTTCTGTTTCTTCATTGAAATATGGCTTGTCAACTCTTACACAGGCTATGTATATCCGTGTAAAGCGTAGCAAGACAACTTACTTTATACAGTGTGATCCAACTGAGACAATTTTGGACATCAAGCAGAAATTGCTAAACCTGATTGATCAGCCTGTTAACAATCAACGGCTAATCTTATTAGGGACTGGGGAAACCTTAGAGGATTCAAAAACATTGGCAGATCAAAAGGTAAAATCATTATTATATTTCTTTTTGCTTCTTTTTTATGTAAAGTTGACGAAAACCTAGTAGTCAGGTTTCCCTTATTTAAATAAAGATAACAAGAGGAATGAGGTTTGCCTTTTGTCTGTTTAATATTTTGCCTTCGATCCTATTGATCCTTTACCTTGACTTAACTTCTGCAATAAACTTCCTACACTTTTGCAGGTCGAAAATGATGCTGTCGTGGCATTAACATTGAGGAAAGGTTGTCTTTTGATATCCCTTTATCTTTTGCATATTTGAGCACTATGATTTTTTATTGGTATATTCAGTTTGTGGATTCTTCTTACCAAAAATTGGATTTGGTTTTCTTTTCCTTTAATACAGAGAAAATCTCGAATCATTATCAATATAATACCTCAACTGCATGCTTAGCCAAATAGTGTACAAATAACAATTGGGCGTAATCCACTTTAATGTCTGCCTCTCCTGTGTTTTTTTTTCTTTTTTTTCTTAATCACTTCACTTCGGACACTTCGAACCTGTTCTCAAGGCTAATCCTACTGTACCACCAACTCGTGAGAGTACTACATCTTAAGCCTAAGCTGTTTTCCGCTAGATGCTGTTATTTATGTTACTGGTGGTTTAGCCAGCCTTTCAGAGTCATGTAGCCATCAAGCCAATATTTATTGTCTATATTCACCCAAGGATATGTGTAACTTGAAAGTAAACCTCTACGTTCGTTATCATTGAAATATATCTTGGTTGTTTACCCAAAATGGAAGGACGATATTCACATGCAACCTACACTTGCTTGTCAGCTGCAAGAATTGTGTTCAACTTATTTGACTCATGCTTTTTTGGCCTAACTTGCACTTGTTTGGACCTTGGTTTTGGAAAATTTTGCTTATTTACAGATGACAATGAGTTTGAGGATGTAAACATTGTGCGTCCAAATGATTTCTACCAATCTCGTGATGATGGTGCCAGCTGGTAAAGCATTGACGGGATTTGGTAAAGCTTTGTGAGACGACGATAGGGGAGTTCAGACAACGTAGATTTCTAGTCAATGGTCCATTTGCTTGTGTTGTTCAGTTCTGGTGCCCTTTGTACCATGAAAGTATTCGTTTTACATTTGTGAAGTGAGAATCATTGATTAATGTCGGAAGCTTCGGTGTCATGGCCATAAGTTTAACTGAAATTATAAAGCTGCTCCCATTACATGAACTGCTTATGTTTTAACATCCTCGCAACTTTTGACAGACATGATTGACCCGAACTTAGTTGCTGATCTGCTAATTACATTGCATTATTCGTACAGAGAGCACTTACTCCCACGGGGTAGCATTCTTTCTGTCTTTCAGATGATTAACATATTAAAGAGAGTATATATACAGAGAAATTTCAGTTCTAAAGAGATTATGAGTGAATAATTGAAGTTGTATAAACAGGATTTCGATCTCTCATTGATAAAAAAAAAATGTAGGAATTAGAGAGACAACTTTCACATGAGAGGAGAGAATAAAAGACTAGTTAGAGAGAGAGGGAGAGCCTACGGGGTCGGCTGCAGATTCATCCTATTTCTGAAATTCAGCTTCCAATTTGGCTTTGTTTTTGGTGAAGATATTGTTTTCTCTTTGTTGGATTGGAATTTTTCACTGGGAGTTTAAATGCTTTAGGGAAAAAGTCGTCGTGAGGAACTTCACCGAATAAAATTACGAGGAAGATTAACTGTGAAAGACATTTTTTGATCTGGTTATTGTAGTTGCTGTATGGTTTATATTTATTTTCATAGTAGAATAAAGTTAGGACTAATGTTATCTGTACGTGTACTGAGATATATGAATTAGTACCAACTAGTTCATGCATATGAGAATGCTATATAACTACTGTCTTATTGTTTATTCCTCACACACCCACACACACACACACACAGATATGTATATGTGATTGATTTTCGCTACATGTAGGAACCTGCCTCGTGCCTTTTTGCTGTTGAGTTACGTATTGCAGTAACTGCACATAGCAAGGGCAAAACGCAGATCATTCTCAGGGATTGTTACAGTAGTAAATACATAAACAACCGAAGCCAATGCACACTCCGGCACCACCAGGTTCTTTTGAACATTCCTGCTCGCATTTCTTCGACTCACATGTCCCCGGGCTTATTATTTTTTGACAAACGTCCTCTGAGTCCGCTGTTCTTGCTGCCTCAACTCCGTGGATACCCACGTCTTGGCCGAGCTCGGCTGTTTGGGAGGTAAGAAAAGATGGAAGTTCTGTCAAACTTTTGTATTCTTGTGCACTTCGGTCTGTTCAAATTAATTGATAGCGGACTCTTTAAGGTACGAATCTTGTATTCTCATTGTGAATCTTCTTTATCTTTAAACGCAGCATCTATAAATATAAATACATATGTGTATATATATGTATATGTATGTATTTCCACAGCAAAATAGTTGCATTTGTAGGGACTTTTGAAACTCCTCCACTCTTGAAAAGAGAAAGAAAGAGTGCCCAACTGCCCAGACAGGGCTGTCACTGGATTATATATATATATATATATATGTGTATACTCCAGTATACGGCTGGATTTAAGTAGAATTTCAATAATTTTGTAATTGAAATGAGTGTAAATCTGTGAAAGAGAATATCAGAAATTAAGATTTATTTATTTCAGATAATAAATTAAATACTACTAATTAATTTGTTGGTAGGAGAAGAACCTGAGAGAAGAAACACGAGCACAAAAGACATGAAGCACATCCCCCAAATCTTCACCATTCCACTTCCTCTGTGTTATAAACTAGGATGGTACTAGAATATATATATATATATATATATATACTAGTTGAACATTGAATATTTACAATGTGTAAGGGAAGAAATTGTTTAAAGAAAAATATCCCTTCTCATACAACATATATATATATATATATGTATATTTACTTTTTTTAAAATTTCCACTTATAAAGAAAATTCATTTTTTAAAAGCAATTCTAGGATGAAATATCTCATTAATCACTCCGAAAAAGAAAAATATTTGCTTATATAGTCACTGTATCGTTTTTTATACCAAGATCCGACCGGCCGGTTCATTGACTGTGCTCATCGGGCCGGGTTCGCTAAATGTGCCGGACGGTTTTTCGGATCACCCGGCCTAGCCGACCCTGTCCTTGAAGACTCGGATCCTGGGAAAATTTTTTGCTGTTTCAAATTCTTATCCTCCAACTCAGAAGAGAGCGCACGCTTCTAGATTTTACTGGCGAACAGTTCTCCTACCATGTCGGTGATGCATTCCAGGCTCCTCCCTCTCCCTCTTCAGTTCACAAATACTAACGGTATGCTTCCTTATCCCACCCGGAGACTCTCTTATCCTTGTCTCCGACAACTCTCAGTCTTCTGCGCGAAGAGAGCTGGTAAACGGAGGTATCCATCCGAGAAGAAGAAGTTGAAATTGAAGCAAAAAGAAGCCGTAGCCGATGTGGAAAACAAGTTTGAAGGTATCTGGAGACTCTCCAAGCTCGGTGTTTTGGTCCAAAACGACCCCGGAAAGGACTTCATTGGTCTCTCCGATGGACTGCTGCAAGAGATCGCCAAAGTTCTCGAGTTTCCGGTAAATTTATGTTTTGGCTAACGAGAATCTTGAGGAAAGTGTAAAAAATGAGATAATAGTTGGTCTTGTTTCAGGAAACTTACAGAGATGTTAAAGACTCATTAGTAGTAAGACCAGTAACGTTTTAGTAGTAGACAAAACATAATAACGATTTTATAGTAAAACTTCTTTTATGAGAACTCTCACAACAGCTATGGATTTTATTCCGATTGCTATGGTTGATGAAAGAACTGGCCATGATGAAGGCTATGCAATGCAAAAACTAAAGGAATCAATATCCCAACTGTTCTTTTCCTACAGTTTCCTGCACTTGTATGTTTCTCAATAGAATTTATTGTTTTATACTTTTCTAGGTTGCTTCAATGCTGCCAACAGAAGCATTCACAGTCGTCCGGAAATCTTTTGATGCGAGGAAGGTCTGTCCAATTGGAACTGGAAGTGTTTGTTTCTCCATTGCAGTGCGCCATAATTCTCTTTCTAAATATGTCTGTTTGTTGGTTGAACACATATAATTACGAACACATGGTAGCCTTTTTTCTTGTTTGAGCATATGTCAATTTATCCTAACGGCAGGAGGGCGTACCTGTTTGCCTTTCTTTTTCTACTAGGAGGGGGACTTTTGGAGTCTATATATTCAAGAACTTAGAGGATCTTATATATTGTTACATTCTTATCGCTGATTAAATTGTTGGCCATTGCTGTTCCTTATGTTTTTTTTGTCTTGTTCCAGCTTCTGTGTTAATTGTACATGCTGGTCTTAGTACATGCCATCCGTAAATGGTCCATGTTTTCAACAACTAAAATAGGAAGGTTTATATTCATGCAAGCTTTGGTTGAAATATAAATGCATGCAGATAGGAACAAAAATATATCCTTTATATCATAGATGTAAAGTAACATGTTTAGTCATCTTTATTTTTATTTGTTTTAAACAAGCCATGATGGTTTTTGAAAAAGGAATTACTTTTTTCTGTTTTGCCTGGTTTCAGGTGTTGAAGGAGCCCAAATTTGTATATACTGTGGACATTGATGTTGAAAAACTTCTAAATCTTGAGCCCCATACATATGACTTCATTTCTCGATTGGAGCCTAAAGTTGGACTTGTAGAACATCTAGATTCTGAAAAAGTTTGTGATGACTTGATCAGTATAATAAATGGGTGTAAAAGAAGCAGCAACAGTACTCCGACAGGAGAAAGCAAACATGAAATTTCCTGTTGGTCTACAGAATTACAGAAGCATTCTGCAACCAGAAAACCAAAAGTTGCTGTTGTGGGTAGTGGTCCATCCGGCTTGTTTGCTTCTCTTGTTCTTGCTGAATTTGGAGCAGACGTTACATTGATAGAGAGAGGTCAAGCAGTAGAACAGAGAGGGCGTGACATTGGCCGTCTAGTTGTTCGTCGGATTTTGGAATTGGAAAGCAATTTTTGCTTTGGGGAGGTTAAACCTTGACTTACTTAGTACTCCTGTTCGAGGTTATTTTAGTATATGAAAAATGTCTATTCATTGCATTATTTGAGTTCTGCTTTCATATATCATTTCTTCAGTTTTGATCTTACTGTTCTAAATAAATCTTACTGCCTGTTGAAGACTGAAAATGGTTGTTCATATACTAGTGGGTGAAAAGAAGGACACTTCATATTTATCGTGTTGTTTTTTTTCCTTTGAGATGCATATGATGGTTAGTATGGATGCTAGCTCAAGTTGGAGCTTATGCTGTCTATTTGGGTTTTTATTTTCATTTTGTTTTCCTTTTATTTTCATTTATGCTTCTCATTCAATTTTCTTGTATGTCAATGTCATATTTAGAACTTATGTGTGGCAGGGTGGTGCAGGTACTTGGAGTGATGGAAAGCTGGTAACTAGAATTGGAAGGAATAGTGGAAGTGTCTTGGCGGTTAGATATTATTCCTTTGCTCTTGTTTTATTTCATTTACATCTTCTCCAAGTTATTTTATTTGTGTTCTCATTGAGTACATATGTGTTTACATTAGGGATATTACAGCATGTCTCTTACTCCCAAGGATGATATTTTGTCACAGAAAATGCTTGTTCAATCATAAATGGAACTATTATTTTACTTGTCATCACAATTCTGATGATTAATGAGAGAGAATCTATTTGAACTGTTGCCTGATATTTTATTGTTCCAACAGTTAAATTATCTTGGTTTCCTGTTTTCTTGTTGCTTCTATTTCAATGATATTGGTTTTCTGTTTTAAGTGGCTCGTATGTGGGTTTCATGTGAGGATTCAATGATATTGTGGATTATGCTTTTCTTCATCAAGCATTGATTGCACATGATTTTTATCCTTCTGAGAGCTGCATATATCTTAATTGTAGATTGCATAGGATTATTGCATTTCCATGAGGCTTTAGACTCCTTCAGATAACTTAAGTGAGCAGCAATAATGATGTAGAAATATTAAAAAAGAGAATGATTTCATATTTCACTTCCAAAAAGTATCAAGTCTTGGTTTTGAAGCCCTTATCACTTAATTACCTATTATGTGCTGGGCTGATTGATTCACAGCTATTTTCATCCTAGGTTATGAAAACTCTCGTTCAATTTGGGGCTCCAAAAAGTATCTTAATTGATGGGAAGCCACATTTGGGAACTGATAGACTTGTTCCTTTACTCCGCAACTTTCGGCAGCATCTACAAAGCCTAGGGGTAAGTAATGCAGTCATACTTTATTACGAGAAGCTGAAACTGATCGAGTTTGCCTCTAAATGTGTATTATAAGTTAGATGATTTTGCTTTTCTTGTTATTTATTTTGATGTGAATAGGTTTCGATCAAGTTTGGGACTAGGGTAGATGATCTGCTTGTGGAGGATTCACATGTTGTAGGGGTCAGAGTTTCTGATTCAAGAGATAGAGCACGATCAGATTGCCAGAAATTGAGATATGATGCAGTTATTCTCGCTGTTGGCCATTCTGCACGTGATATATATGAAATGCTTCTAACGCATAATGTGGACTTGGTCCCGAAAGATTTTGCTGTGAGTGCCTAACATATTAAAGTTTATTTCATTAGAAAGTATCATTTTGGTGGTATCTTTTGGGAATGCACTTGTGTATCTGAGTGCATTTGGTTGCATTTCTAGCATTGTCAACCACCAGTCCTATCCTTTTCCACGAGTACTAAGCCTATTGTTGTGTGAATCTGTGGTAGATGAACACACGGAGTTTTGTGATGCTGCAGAATTTTCAGTATTTAGTAGTTAGTAAAAATATGAGAGAATTAAAAAAGTACCTCATGCTTCTAATTAATTTATTTAATTGACTCTTTTCATTCAATAGATTTCTCTTTTATCTCAACAAAAAATTACTTTATTGAGAGTCCTAGACTTGGATAAATCTGCATCAATCCACCTTCATTTAGTGCCACTGTAGATTGTTCATCGTTAGTTCTTTTTTTTTTTCATTTTCTCTGAGCTCCAAGACGCTTTTTGATATTTGAACCATTGGTCTATCGATAACAAGGGGATGATGAAAGGGACTCAATGTAAGTGAGAGTTTATTGTTTATCTTTAGTTAATATGTGATTCATAAAGATACTACGAGATGATGAAAGTTATTGAAGGGTGTATTGATCATTTGTTTTTTTTTCCCCTTTTTTCTTTGATAAAAGTTCAGTTGTTTACTATGGAGGATTTTGGGGGCTTTATTAATATCTTGATTGACATATAAATATTTTTTCACACTGGTTGGTACTTCCTTGGTGCTTCTGTATTAATGAAACATACCATACTTTTTATTTTTTTTTTAAAAAAAAAAAGGTATGTTTTTTACCATGCAACACCATCTTTGAAGGATTGGATGTGGGAAGGACATTCCTGAATAGTTTGGTTGGGGTGCAGTCCTTTCTTATCACAGCTCTTTCTTTTTCATATTTTACCCCATTTGCCTATAGAATATGAAGGTGGATTCTTGTGCAATATAGGTAAACGAATGCAGTTACAGACTGCTGATGATCCTATTTGCTTGTGATATATGTTGGAATAGACAATTCTGCTCAAATAGCTGGGAAGAGATTTAATCATAAGAAAAGTGTCTGATTCTGATGAGGATTCTGTCATTTGTTTTCTACGATAAATATTATTCACAAAGCACCAGGGGGAAAAAAATGTCTTACTTGGATCTTACCTATGTGAAAAAGAAAAAATTATGAAAGCTTATCCATTGAACTAAAGATGTTAGTGTATGGAACCATTTTCTTCAAGCATTCAAAGTGATCCTTCTTGCCTTCCAAACAAATTCATCTTTGATCCATCCATTCCACATCCATAAAATGGGAAAAAAAGTTAGACCTGATGGCTTCATTACACTCTCTTGAAGCATGAGTCCTTCCCACACCCTATCTTTTCAAATGGAGTCTGCAGTAATCTGGTTTGGACGTCATCTTGTCTGACTAACTAGAGGATTTTGATTATGTTAACCTCATCATAATAATTTGCACCATCAACTTTCTAGTTTTGACTTTGGACCCTTTTTGTTTAGAGGATTATACTTAAAAACCATGTAATATGCTTGAATTTTGGTCTTTATTATTATATTAACCAATTTGTCTGAATAGGTTGGTTTGCGAATCGAGCATCCTCAAGAACTAATTAACAGCATACAGGTTGGTTATGTATTCCATTAATTTTCTCTAATTAGTTAAAAAATTTCAATTTTTCGTACTGTTGTAGATGAACTCATTTACCGCCAATGACATTTGTGTTTAAGAAGTTTCTCTTCTTACAGGCTATTTGATGAACTTATATTCCTGTTCTAATATCTCAAATTGTATTCTTCTCAAAAGTATATTGGATTTAGCATATATAGGAAAAAGACTTCAAAAATTTAGCACTTATGTTTTTGTTTTTCTGTTGAAAAGAAAAGTTTGTATTCCTAAAAATACTTGATGGTAGACTTCACGTTGGTTATAAGAGCAATATGATTATTGCATGTAGTAAGCTTTTAAGCCTACTCTGAGGATATTTATCTTTATTGCCTTGTGTCACATATTTGTTTGCTCCCTGTCCTTCTATTTTGTGATCAAATCCTAACTAATTTATTTATAAGAATGTGTAGTATTCGGGTTTGGCCAATGAAGTTCAAAGAGGACGAGGAAAGGTTCCTGTCGCAGAGTATAAGGTTGTACGATATGTCAAAAGTGAGGATGGGGATTCTTCCCATCATCAAGCAGATGTAAATCGTAGTTGCTATTCCTTCTGCATGTGCCCTGGTGGGCAGGTATCTTTCTTTTTTTATCCTCTGATATGTGCATTTTTAGTTTATCAGTCGTGACATTGGGGATTGGGGATTACTCAGGGTCTCCACTTTAGAGGGTATGGCTACTGATTAAAGTATATATATACCTTGAAATGTGCATTTTAGTTGCACTCCAGAGTATGTCATTGCTTCTCACAGCACCAAGGTATACAGTTTCTCAGATATTGGATCAGAAACTTTCCTCCTTAGCATACCATTAAATAAATTTGCATGAATGAGAAATATAACAGAAAGAAAGCCTTCTATTAATGTTGGATCACCGCAATAGATTTAGGGTTCTCTATCAGAGAGAGAGCCTCTCTTAGTTGATACTGACCCTATAATAATCATTTAGAAGCTTCTCTAGAATACAACTAATCCACTTCAACTTGGAGTTACAGGTTGTTCTCACTAGTACAGATCCCTCAGAACTCTGTATCAATGGCATGTCATTTTCTCGTCGTTCATCAAGGTGGGCTAATGCTGCTCTTGTTGTCACTGTCTCATCAAAGGATTTTGATTTATTGAATTTTCATGGGCCTCTTGCTGGTCTGGGATTTCAGGTAACCTTTTCTCAGTACATCCTTTACTGTATTTATATTATATGTTACTCCTTAGTTCTTTCATTCATAAAACATTTATGCTTGTCAAACAAGGATATTTTGAACTGCAAAAGAAAATGTTTCTGTTAGGAGATGAAGGGTAAAAGTTCTGTTTGACTTCTTCAATGTCCTTGTGGCCATTTGATTTTATATGTGATGGAATCTTTGTAATTATACCAAACTTCTATTTGGGTTATGAAAGGCTGATAAAATTTTCCAGATTCACTCAATTATTACTGTTTTGTTGCTCTTCATTAGAGAGAATTTGAGCGAAGAGCAGCTATAATGGGAGGGGGTAACTTCGTACTACCTGTGCAGAGGGTTACTGATTTTCTGGAGAACAAGTTATCAGGTAGACTTGCTTATTCATAGAGTTATACTGTCAAAATTGTCTAGTTTGATTTGTCTTGTTTTATCAGTTGCTTCCGTGCCACCATCCAGTTATCGCCTGGGAGTAAAGGCGGCAAATCTTCATGAGCTGTTTCCTACTCATGTAACAGATGCTTTGAAGTATTCAATTGCAATGTTTGAAAAAGAGGTATTACTTTCTTTCTATTTGACCCATTGATCTAACCTTCTGGTAAGCAATATCACGAAATAAATTTTGTTAACTTTTTATTTTGCCCCTACTTTGGAACTTTCAGTTACCAGGGTTTATCTCCAAGGAAGCACTTCTTCATGGAGTTGAGGTATCCCATCTTCATTTGCTAAATCATTGTCCTCTTGTCCTTGTCTCTTTTGACATTTGATTATTAACTTACTTTTTAAAATATATCTCCTTGTTCTGTCAAGCTTTTTTCATGTTGATTAGGAAAAAAAAAAAAAAACTTTTGAAGTATCAATAGAATGATATTAAACCATTGTATTGGACGACCTACATTTTCTTCTAACTTTGCTTCCAGACAAGAACTAGCTCCCCTCTTCAGATTCCCCGCAGCATGGACACTACGAGAGCACATCTTTGAAGGGGTTATACCCAGTTGGAGAAGGAGCAGGTTATGCTGGCGGAATTGTTAGCGCAGCAGTAGATGGAACGTTTGCAGGTTTTGCTGTGGCAAAGAACTTCAATTTATTTCATGGTAGCCTAGAATCTGTTCTAGGAAAGACTCAGGGTTTTGGAATTTCAAAGTACTGAAAAGGAGTTAGTTCACGCCTGTTTGGTTGTAATCAATGGGAAAACATACAAGCTCGACTTGGGTTTGCCTAGAAGGCTCCATAGAGTGGAGGAAGATGGTGCCTTTCAACTTACAGATCCGGGTGTGGCACAAAACTTGTGAGTATATTTTATGAATTTGAAGTCATCAGGCAACTGATTTTTTATCATTTTATCGACAATTTACTTATAAGAGACTTCACGTATTTTCTGTTTCTAGACGTCTAGCCATCAATAATCTCCACTGTTGTGCTTCTGCAGCTTTACTAGATTTTTCGTCTACTTCTCAGGTTTGAAAAGTCCAAATTGTGTCATGCTGGTTAAACACATGGGGGAAGATCCTTGGATGCTCTCAGGATCCATCACCTTTACTCATGTTTCTCACAGTAAGATTGGTCAAGGTTCGATTATGTTAGGTCTCAACTGTTAAATTTGGGGGGAAGGCTGGCTTGAATATTGTGCTGAATAGTAAAACAAGCCTAACTCAAGGATTGATTGTCTCATCACTCGAAGGTATTATTATTTCTTGATGCAAAGCTTGATTTCGAGGTTGTAATTTTGACTGAATCTTTCCTTGAGAAACTTGTAGCATAAGCAAGTAGTATATCTTTTTTTATAATACAATTTACCTGAAATGCTAACACTTAGAAAAAGCATATATATATATATATGTATCTACATTTGTTCACTAATTTCTCACCAGATTTTCAGGGGGTAGGTTTTTGTAGATGAACCATATTCTACTTCCATGTAGATCCTGCTTTGTTCTCAATATACATGAAATTTTGAGTTTGATTCCAAAACAAGTTTGGCAGAAAGTTGACATCGAATTCCAACCAACTCAACTAAAGGGCTCTACGAGTTTTTATTTGGTACGTTTTATTACGTTTTCAATATTAGTAAGTATTAAAAATTCTATAAAAATATATCTTATATGTTTTAATCAAATATATCTAATGTATAGATAATCCAACTTATATGCAAATTTCAAGTCAAATTTTTACCGCCGGAGTTACAATTTACTTAATTAAACAATTTTTCTAAGCCGAAGAGCTTAATTTTACTTAAACTCAAATAAAGCTTAATTACGAACTCTTTTAACAGTTTTCATTATCTTTGTAGTAAACCGTAAATTTTCTTTTTTCTCTTTTTACTTGCACATGGAATCTCCTTGTATATGAAAAATCGAATAACTGCTTTCATGTTGTGAAATAAGAAATTTTGGTATCTTAATGCATGCATTCAATTGTTAATTGCTTCTACTAGAAATATAATTGGCTACGAGTTTGAAA